AGGTAGCAGGGAACGCCATAATGGCCGTCGTGACCTAATCCGTCATCTGTCTCCGGGCGAGGCCCATTTTTTTCCATCTCATTAGGCCTAATCGTGAAGACGGCAGTGTTTCCCCCCGCTGAGCCTCTATCAGGGTAGCCTTACAAATGTACCTACTGAATGTGAACATTACCACAAAGTCCCTGCTGCAGAATGTTACAATTTTATGCTGCTTAACTGCGTTAAAATATCAGGTTCTTGTCTGTTGCTCGGGGTGAGCCCGCCTGAACTTAGGAGGGATTTCAGAAGTGCGCTCCCTGGCTTGTCGGAGGTCAGGTGCCTCATGCTTCTCTCACACCCTGAGAGTAGCGGTGGGCCGGAAGGCCTTTGGACGATAGTTCACGGCCCGCTGTAGAGTCCCACCTCCACGCAAATCAAAGTCGGAACAGGAGTTAGACGACAAAGGCAATTATGTGTCATACTACAAAGCTGGGGATCAGGGATGCATAGCAAAGCGACGGTTCAAAGGCTCAGCGTGAAAACCAACCATGCCTCAAAGAAAAAGGAGCTACGGGGAGGCCTCTTAGCACAGGCGATTGGCTAAGGCGGTCATGTGACCTCCCTCGCTGGAGGGATCATCTCATCGAGCGAAACTAGGTAGATCTGAAGGCGCATCCTGCCACGTAAGGAATGTGGCATCCTGCAGCCCATTTTGGACTTTGCTCCCCTTCCTACGGCATGTGCAAAAGGACAATCAGTGCGAGGATGCTCAACCCTCATTGAAATGCTCCCCCATCATCCTCCCGCGACATTGTGGCATGTGACACAAACAGGATTAATGCACAGCACACAAAATGAACAAAATCCTGGACAAAAACCAAGCGAATAAGAGCACACGGGATGAGAGCGACGAACTTGTCTGTTTTTCTTTCTTTATTTTTTATTAGTCCAACCATGCAGAAAGGTATCTGTGAGGATCAGCTCCATTAGCCGCTCTGCTGTGGGACGTGTTTGCCATATAATGAAGTGTGAGGGGGTGACTGGGATCCATTTAGAGTGTGCATCTGCACAGCGGTTTATTAGTGCTGCTGATCATGCTCCCCCCTTCCTCGTCCTCCACTCTCCCTTCGCGGGACGTTCGCTGAGACCCTACGCCATCTCGGGCACTGGCACGAGCCAGAGAAGTATGTAACGAGAGAAAAACGTCAATAAAAAAAGCAGACATGTCAGCAGATTCTCTGGTTGAGGAAAGGGCGCCAACATCATTAAAATGGAGTCATCTTTGCGGTCTGGGCAAGAGGTCGGGAATGACCAAGGAGGCCCTGGAAGCACACCAAACCATTGCTCAGTGGTGTGAGCGAGGCAGGCTGTCGTGGTTAGGCCTGCATGCATGATGGTAGTTGCCATAAGTGTCCACCACGGCCACAGATCCAGAGACTGAGAAGGTCCAGGAAGGTAACTGATAATCGTCAGATTACGGCAGACAAAACGTGCAGCTGACAGACACCAGGGACCGCATGAAGAGGAACCGGCCCATTCCAGAGCCCCTGGAGCAGGTTTGACCGCGGTGGGTCTGGTCCACACCTAGAGCAGGCGCTGGCTCAGGAGTGTCCACAGGTATGTCAGTTGGGAGGGTCTTTGTGGAACAGCTGCACCCACACGTCCCCTCCCCCTTCCCAGGAACACGATGGGTGCTTCTCAAAACCGAGAACATAAAGATCGTTCTTGTGGCCTTGGCATGACCGGTCTTGCTAACCTGGCTCCCAAGAATGAACTTGGGGCCCAGTGAATCATGGGATTCGTCTTGTTAGGCGAGGATGTAACTGATCTATCCTTGATAAATCCGGGGCAAGAACGACATCCGAGGATCTTTACTG